TGGAATTCTTTTAAAAAGTGTAGGCGGGGTGACTGAAGAGAGAGCTCTGCACCTAAGAGCACTGACTGCTCTTGCAGAGGACCTGGGTTCAGTTCCCAGCACCCATATATCATCTAGCATCCCATTGATAACTCCAATTCCAGGGGATCTGACACCCTCATCTGCCCTCTGCAGGCATTGAATGCACAAATGCACTTACATACATACAGGCAAAACACTAATACATATAAAAAAAAAAATCTTAAAAGATTTTGGAGCTGAGTCCATGTAGCTGTAATCTCTTTGCAAGATATGTAGCATGCCTGCACGTACTAGCCAATTCATTATTATTTGATTGCTCTTACTGCTCTTTAAGAGTCTTTGGAAATCTTTGAAAAAGATTTTAAAGTAGTTTGTTAGGTAGTACTGGAATGGAACTATGATTGGGATGTCAACAGAAATTTTTAAAAATGCAAGAAGTAATCAAATCCTAAGTAGTTTCTTCCTTATTATATATTGTTGAGGTTTTAGCTAATGTTAATTAATAATGTCCATCCTTCTTACAGGTGTTAGTAAAATGGCCTTTCGTCACTTAATTGAATTCACATATACGGCAAAACTAATGATACAAGGAGAAGAAGAAGCCAATGATGTGTGGAAAGCAGCAGAGTTTCTACAGATGCTAGAAGCTATCAAAGCCCTTGAAATCAGGTAATTTCTCACCTTCAGCAAGGTGCAAATAGTCTTTTGGGGGATGTTACGTGACCCTGTTAGCCAAGACTTCATAATGTATGTCATGACATTAGTGACAGTCTGAAATGAGGAAAATTCTGGGTGCAAAAACTACTCTGGAATCTAATAAATAAGAAAGACTAGGCAGCTCCTTAAGGCTGTCTCTGAGAGCCTCCATCCCTGTCCCCCCAAAACTGTTTTGTTGTATTTGAATTACAAATACATATTCTACAGAGGGTTTGGCTAACAAAAGTTGAGATGTTACTTTTGAAAAATAATATTAATGAAAATAGACTGGATGAGGGTAAGGCGATAATTGGCCAAATTAGGATAATTGGCCAAATTAAAATAATTGTCATTCGGCTGGGCATGGTGGTGTAGGCTTTAATCCCAGCACTCTGGGAGGCAGAGGCAGGCCATTCTCTGTGAATTCAAGGCCAACCTGGTCTACATAATGAGTTCTGGTCCAGCTGGGGCTACAAGGAGACCCTGTCTCAAAAAGACCTCCCCCCCAAAATTTATAAAGAATGATTATCATTCAAATACATTCTGTGTCTATTGTTGGGTACTGTGTGCTCTCTAGGTGATATGGCTCGAGGTCTCAGTTCTAAAGTGCCCAGTGCAAAGAGAAAAAAGGTGTTCAGTTGTATTGTAACATGAGAAAGTAACCCCTTCTTGATACACCTCCACATAATGACTAGGAACAACAGAAGCTAATAAACTAAGAGCTCTGGAGTCACTCTCTGAGTTACCCTAACTTTATCACTGTGTGGCCTTCATGAAGTTGCTCAGCCTCCTGACAGTGTCCTAATTTGTCAATTAGGGCAGTAATTTACTTTCTACAGGAAATATTTGTGAGGTTTAGATAAATTGATGCCTATAAAATACATAGAATGGTATCTAGTATATAGTACTCTAAAACTGAAATACTAACCTCACTGTTTCCTCCTGGTAGTATTTGCTTCTCCCTGCCTCCATTTCTCTTTTTTTTTTTTTTTTTTTTTTTTTTTTTTTTACAGGGTCTCCCTAGCCTTGGATGGCCTGGAACTTGCTTAAAGACCAGGCTGGGGAATTTACAGAGCTCTGCCTATCTTTGCCTTTTTGAATGCTGGGATCAAAGATGTGCCCCATCACACCCGTGCACCTACTGCCCCTCCATCCTCCTATCTGCACTCCCATTTTAAAATACAGGCCACTGGCATGCCGCCAAGTAGAGTTTGATAGGCTCATTTTCCTGGAGGAACAAAATGATTGAATCCAATTCACTAATATGATTTAGTCAAAAGGTAAAATTGAGAATAACTCCAGGTGGGGGGGAATTGAATAATTGTCTATAAACTAGCAGTAGTAACAAGTTGAATTGTTTCTTCAACCAGTTCTGCAAGCAGTATACGCTGCAGTGCCTTTGAAAGCAGGAGGAAAGCCAGGCGTGGTGGCACACACTTTTAGTCCCAGCACTCTGGGAGACAGAGGCAGGCAGATCTCTGTGAGTTCGAGGCCAGCCTGGTCTACATAGTGAGTTCCAGGTCAGCTGGAGCTACAGGGGAGACCCTGTCTCAAAAAGACAAAAAAAAAAAAGAAAGTAGGAGGAAAACATTATTTATATATTTGCTATTATAATGCAGTGTCTGTAAATTTACAGGGAGAGTATCTGTGGGTATCTTACAATTGAATTTAATGTTAGGTAATGAGTCAGTACTGGTATATAGATATCACCAGCCCCTGCCACTTTGCTGTCCCCACACAGTCATTGTTTCTATTAGTGACTTTCTTGAAGTAATTCTGTAGTTTATATTCTGTATGTGTGTGTCACCATTGAAGTCTCTAAGTTAACTTGCTGATCAGCTGATTATTGGCTAGACACGCCCATAAATGTGAGTCATTCTCCATAGCTTTGTTGAGGTACTTTGTATTGGGGCATAACATCAGTGTTCAATGATGCAATTTACAGTTCTTCCATAACCTTTACTTCTGTGGACACATCTCAAAGTTAATCGGGTGAGCACTCTGGCCTTCTTAAGGTCATTCCTGAACAGGGACATCTTTGTGCTTGTACATGACCTTCTAAATTCCCTGGAATATGTCAGAAGTCTTGGCGCATTCTCTATGAATATCTCATTTACCAATTGTTTCCTTGGTCAGCTTCTTGGTAACCCCAATTTGTATTGTCACCTCAGTATTGCATTGAAAAGTGATCAGTGTTGGTTTTGATCTTCTTATTTTTCTGCTGGGATAATGAAGCTTTCCATCAGCTCTGTTTTGATTGTTTCTAACAAATGTTTTGTGAGTAGGCATTTCAAAAAGTAAGTTTTGAGGGCCAGTGACGTAGTTCGAAGGGTAGGTGCTTACCATCAAGCCTGATGACCTGAGTTCAGTCCCTGAAACCCACTTCCACATGCGTGCCATGGCACATACTGCCCCCCAAAATACACAAAATAAATATTTAAAAATTTTATAGAAGAGTTAAGCTTTGAGCCAAGTAAAATCTGTAAATATTTTTATCCTGTTTTAGATCTGTCTTGAATTATTTAGAAATCACTTTAATTAGTCTGTGCATAGTAATAATATTATGCATATGCTCTATTCTTGGTTTAGAGTTCATTTACTCTGCTTCTTCATTGACAGAATCTTTACTCATCTGTCTTTGTTTCTGCTGCTGTGATAAAAATACTGACCAAAACCAACTTTGGGAGGAAAGGGTTTATTTGGCTTACAGTTCCCATCCCATCTCATGGGAAGCCAAGGGAGGAATTTGAGGCAGGAGCTGAAGCACAGACCATGGAGGAACACTGCTTACAGGCTTGCTCTCCTGGCTTGTGCTTGGCTTGCTTTCTTATATAACACAGGATGATCATTCCAGGGGGTGGTACTGCCCACAATGGGCTGAGCCCTCCCACATCACTCAGCAATCAAGAAAATGTCCCACAGACATGGCCACAGGCCACCTCAATGAAGGTAATTCCTCAGTTGAGGTTCCCTTCACCCAAATGTATCAAGCTGACTACAGAAGCTATCCAGCACACTCATCTTTCTGGTCTTGGTCCATAGCCACCACTTGGTTCTCTGAAGCCTTGCTGACTGCTCCAAGCAGGTCACCTTAGGTACCTCTGTACTTACAATTTTTTATAGCCTCCATTTAAGCAATAATAAACTATTATTCCTATAGTTTTGCATTTGGTTTCAACATCTTTGAGGTTATATAGAGTGTATATTTATTCTTGAGGCATTTGGATGAGTTTGAAAAGCTACCATAAAAAATTGCCTCTTGGGCTACCCAATTGTCAAGCTTCTTCCTTTCCTTGTCTGATAGTCTCCAAAATCTGTTTTGCCATCAGCTGTTGAATACAAACTGGCTTATCCCGTTTAATAAAACAAAAGCCAAATAGAAAGGCTTTTCTCCAGAATACATTATTAGTTTCTTAAATCAAACCCACAAAGAGAAGACTTTACATATTTAATATAATGTGTTAACTTCTGTACAAATGGAAAAAATTAAACTCAACATTTCTAGACCAAAATGATTGTTAAATCCTGTACAATACCAACTCAGCCCATTAAGCTAGGATATTTTTTCCAAAGTATATAGCACAGCTAAAGTTTCCAAAAATTAAGATTATATCTATATATATCTATGTATATATACTTACATATTTAAAAAACCAGAAGTATGTTATGTATCAGTAGCTTTTTCAGATTCTGTAGTCAGCTGAACAAAATTATAAAGACCTCTAGCATGCCCAATTTTTTTAAGAAGTAAAAACTAAAATCTCAGAAAAGAGCAAGATTCTATTACTGTTAAACTGTCAATTATTGTCTTGAAAGAGAACATTCTAAAGTAACACCATTAAAACAGATCTGGTAAAGCACATGTACTACTATGTAATAGAAGCTCCTTTTTTAAGAAGTAAATTTTCTTTTTTAAATTTATGTGATGCCCACAGAGGCCAGAAGAGGGTGTCAGATTACCTGCAACTGGAGTTACAGGCAGTTATGAGCCACTTAATGTATGTCCTAGGAACCCATCTCAGGTCCTCTGGAAGTACTTCTTGTGTTTTGATTATTCCTGTTTGGGGTAGGAATCTGGGTTCACCTGGTCATCCTCATAATTAAACAACTGAATTAATTACTTTTCTATTGCTGTGATAAAAATAATATGACCAAGGAAGAGCAGGAGGTTAGTCTTGATGGTAAGCTCTCTTTTGAGGGCGGAGGGAGAAGTTAGTACCTGACTTCTATATAGAAGTCCAGTTCTTTTGGGCATGGTGGCATACACCTTTAATCCCAGCATTCAGGAAGCAGAGGCAGAAGGAGCTCTTGTGAGTTCAAGGCCAGCCTGGTTTACAGTGAGTTCCAGGCCAGCAAGGGCTACATAAGAAGCTGGAAAGAAAGCATTGTTTAATAATACCCCAGCTGACCCTCCTAAAACAAAGACCTCTCGATAGGCTGACTAGATTCACCAGAAGGGCAAGTAGTGGGGAATGGCTGGGGGTGCCGACAACACAGCAGACAGTAGCAGGGATATCAGACAGAGCAGAATATAAGGGCTCTAGTAGGGGGAAGAAGGCTATGGGAGGGTGCTATCTGGGAAGTGGGTGTTAAAATAAATAAATTAAAAAAAATTTTTTTTAAATAATAGTAATTCTTCAAAGCATAAAACTGTGCTCCTTAATAATTAGTAGATGTGAAAAACATTACCATTGAAATCTGCCT